GCCCTTGGCCTGGAGAGCTTTTTCTTCTGCTTAAGAGAAGTCTGCTTATTTTTTGAGGCCCAGATCAAATTCTGCCTTCACCAGGAATCCTACTCTCTGATTCCTCCAACAAGCACAGATTCTCCCAGCCCCCTAGAGTTATATGGCATTTAGATGCCATAACCTATGCTAGATGGCACTTATATATATTGCCCTCTGTATCAGTAAGGAACTGGCAGAAAAAAACGTGGCACAAAGAGTTCAATTAAAGGACTGTGTACATGAGTATGCATAGGGCAAAGGGAAGTCAGCAAGGGAAAATCAAGCCGCTAGAGCTAGCCACAGCAAGAAACCCTGACCGCCTCTGGGCTTAAAGGGGTGAGGGGACTGAACAGTGTCCAGAACTCCAAGGGAGTAGCTCTAGCTGTAGGAAAGGGCTGCCTGACATGAGCTGAGGGCTTTAGTCAAAGGTCCTAGCCAACCTGTGGCGAGCCAGGGAGATAAGCAGCCGGACTTCATTCTCCTCAAGCCCTCGGGGCTTTTGCCAGGACCTTCCAATGGTTAAACCCAACTAGAAGCTCATGGTCAAGGGAGCCCATGGATGCCTCCTATACAGCCTCCTACGGCAGAGAGTGGGGTGGAAACGTGGGTCTGGGGGAGAAACAGGAAAATATAAAGCACGTCCTCTTCACTGTGCGGCTGAAATGTTTCCTAGAATATGAGCTTTCTCCCAAGCTAGACTGAAAGTTCCTTGAAAATAGTGTGTGTTTGGTTTTTACCTCCCACAGTGCCTAGTAGGATGTGAATTAGAACAGGTATGAAACTTCATACACGTTGAAGATTGTAAAATAAGTAAGTAAAGAACTAAATAGTAACTTCCCACTCTAAGTTCGGTATCTTTTCGAGCACGGAAGTCTTGGTTTTCCAAGTCAATCAAAGTAAAATCCAAATTCCTTACCGTGACCCAGATCCTAGCTATCTCTTTACCTTTGGCCCACTTCCTGCCCTCTTACTGCACTTCCGATATGTCTCCACTTCAGGGCCTTTGCATCTGCCAGGCCCTCCGCCTGGAGATTTCTACCTGCTAAAAGGCCGTTACCTTATTAGGGAGGCCTTCATTGAGGACCCTAAGTAAAAGAGTACTATCTCCTATGTCTCCCATCTCTCTCTGCTCTCTTACCTCACTTCATTTTCCATATAGTGCTCATTGCCACCTGACACGTAGTATATGTATTGTTCACTACTTGTCGTTTCCTTGCACTAGAATACAAGATCTACGGAGCAAGGACTTTATCTGCTTGGTTCCAAATACTGAGAGCCAATGCCTGACACATGGCAGGAACTTGATCGTTGATTTCATATACATGTATATATCTGTATAATGGATTTTATATATGTATACATAGTGTATAATGGGTTTTATATATATAATAGGTCATGTAGAGTGATATATAGAGGTCGATATTGAATATATATATTTATTATATACAGTTTACCCTTGAACAATGAGAGGATTAGGGGCAAACAGACCCGTGCAGTTGAAAATCCACATGTAACTTTGGCTTCTCATCCAGTACCCTAACTTTATGAGGGTGACAGTACCACCCCTTTCCCTGCTACCCCAAGCATCCCCTGTTTTGAATTGCTGACCCGTCTCCCAGAATACACTATGCCTTCTTACACCTCGGTACCTCTGCACACCCTATTTCTTCTGCCTAGAATTTCCTGGCCTGGCTTGTCTGACTGGAAAACTCCCAAGCATCTTGAAAACCTTCACCGAAGCTCAGCCTCTTTGATGCCAGTCACCACTCAGGTAGAGCTCATCATTCCCTCTGCGTGCCCCCATTGGATCTCCCACCAGCCTCAGTTTTGGCCCCATTACATCATTCAATGTCTGGTCTCCTCTCCTGGACTGTGAGCTTCTTAATAACGGTGCCCAGAGCCAGAGATTGTTTACTTAACTGTGTAGCCCCGGTACTAATAGTGTCAAAAATATGTTAACTGCTTACTGTGTATTGCTTAATTGGATAAAAGAATGAGGTCCTAATAGATTTGCAGACTGAAGCCTAGCCCACCACGTCTGATGATTCATCATATCCTGTAGGCCTTGCACATACTAAATTCTTTGTAAATGTTTCTGGGATAAAAGGATTAAAGGAGTCAATGTGTTTTGAAACCAGCAATTTTCTTGTTCATTTCCAATTTCTCTATGATCACTACTTTTCCCAGTGAAAACTCGACTTCCTTCCACAAGGCTCCATTCTGAGTTCCCCAAAGTTTCCTTCTCTCTAATCTGGCCACATCCTGCCTGCCTATTTGTTATTTGAGTCTGGATTTTATAAACATACAAAACAGATGGAGTTTTTCCAACAGGCAAGAATCAAAGAGCAGACACTTACTAACGGACTGGAGCTCCCTGATCAGGTTACTATTAGCAAAAATACAACTCTGGTCAGGTCGTGACTTGTGAAGACTAAACATGATAATATTTGGGAAAGAGTTTTATAAAGAGGTAACTATCCAGTATAATTAATAATGATGCATTAAATTAATAATGATTGAGGGTAGTAACTCCTAGCATTTACCCAGTTCATTCTCCTTGAAAGCTCAAGGAGTGCATTTGTACATGTCTTTGACCTTAATTCAGGCTGAAGTCATCAATATGAGAGGAATCTAAGAAATTGTAAATGCTAATTTTGAGCTAAGTAAGAATATAATTTTGAAAGGCATGCCATTTATAAATAAAATAGCCAAAGATTAGACCAACAGCAAATTTTCCTTAAGACAAAACAACAAAAAAATATAAAACTGAAATTATACTTGCCATGTCATAAATCCATACTAGGAAAAGTTCCCCAAACATGTATCCTTTTCTTTCTTTGATTAAAGTTATTGATTCTTTGTGTCCTTTTATTAAAAAAAAAAAAAAGCCAGTGCTCCTTTTCCTCCTGTTTAATGTGTAGATTAATATTACTAACTTGGATTTTACAAACCATGACTTCCAGTAGTTAGCATTTCCCTTATTCATGAAAAAGCAGTGCCATATTTAGTTTCCACTGAAGTATTGCAAGAATGATTTAAGTGAAAATGGGTGTCAGGTTATATTAAAATTGAATTTTTGGCTTCAAATTTTTTATTTGAATAGCAGTTATACGGAGTACTCATTAAAAAAAAGGAATATGGTATGAAAATAATTGTTTTGAAAAGGAAAGAAGGAAAGAGTTGTGAGTTTCTTAACAATCCAGGGTGATATAATAGAAAGCATAGTGAAATTAGATTGGGAGCCAGGGAATGGGTTCTGGCTTCACTTCTGCTACTAACTAGCCTCTTTCTTTTTAGTTCATGCTGAACACTAGATGTTTCCCCAAGTGAATCTGAATGGGATGGCAGGCAAGGGGACTATTTCTTGCTGGGGCCAGATCAGGTTATTATTATTGTTCTAGCGGCGTATTAACGGATTGATCATTTCACTGTGGTTCTACTTGAGTAGAAGTCACCAGGAAGAAAGGGTTTTTTTGGAGGGACATACCACTAGGCAAAATTCTACTCTTTGCTACTTGTCTCCTCTGCCAATGCTCACTATCTTTAATGCCTCTGTAGGGCCCCTGGACACTGAGAGGGTCACAGTCTATCTTTGAGACGCTCCGTTTCATTTGTAGAATGCTGAGGGTGCCGGCGCTGGGAGATTGCTATGACAATTTGCAGACAGTAGGGGCGATGGGGCTCCGCAGGAGGTGGCCCCCTGGTGATCTGCGTCTGCTCTAGTTCAGGCCTGCAAACTTGGTCCAGCCAGAGGCCTGGCCGATACGGGAGGCGGAGCACAAGGGACCCAGGTCCCCCAGAACTTCAGAAACTGGACACTTCTCCGGAAGGAAGTGCCGCGAATAGCTTTCAGGGCCCGTAGTGGGTGATCGCCTGGCTTTTCCTCCTTCCTAACTGTTCAAGTGACAAAACCTGTGACCTTTGTACAAAGGATGTTCTACACACGACAGGACGCAGGTGTGAGATGGGCATGCAGTTTTTCAGTCTGCAAGGAAAAGAGAGGCCGTAGATGGCAAGTTGCGAGGGCAGGGAAATTCTCCACGTGTCTCGGAAGGGAAGGGGAGAGAGACCTGTCTCTGGGAATGAGAAGGATTAAAGGTGTCTCTCCCTGACGGCGGAGAGCTGAAAGGAAGGTGTGTCTCTCCCAGTGGCCGCGCAGGAGAAAGGCTCTGAGTTGTAAGGCAATGGGAGGTGTCTCCGATGTTTATTTTTGCCTAGCAACCCACAGCCAACTGCTTCCTCAGCAGCCATCCACAAGCGCCTCTCAGCCTCCCCTGTCCTAGAGACTGGAAAGCGGTCACTTGGTGTCAGTAAATTGGGGAGGGTGTGCGTGGTGGAGGTGGAGGTGGGAGGGCAGCCCCCTCCTTCACCCACGCTCGGGGTTCACCAAGCTAAGCTGCGGCCCTCTTTCGGGCTTGACTTACCGAGGTGACCCTTGCACGACTAAGTTATTTACATGATAGACTGGGGAGAGGGGCCGGTTAAGCCCCCTGGGACCAGAGAGGGGGGACAGTATTGTCTGTGAGCAGCCATTGGGTTCAGAAAGCTGAAAATGCATGTGTTTGGGGGCCCTCATGGAAGGGAAGGGGTCTCTGCAGCGATTTCGGTGGAGGGAAGCAGTGGTAGGTTGCGCTTTAGGGAGAAAGGAGGGGTGCTGCAGGGGCCGGAGGCCGGGGAGGGGAAAAGGTCGTTAGTAGGGGAGCCGAGGGGAGCGGTGCAGATGGCCGGAGGGGGAGGCGGAGGCCGAGCGGAGACTGCAGACTTTTCCGGGGAGTGGAGGGGTGGCTAAGCAGATGACTGGGTGGGGTAGGGACTCCGGAGGGTGGCCGAGGTGGGGGTGGGGCGTACGTGAGCGCGTGTGGCTAGGCTGGGGGGGTGGGGGTGGGGGAGTCCGAGGGCGGGGCCTGCACCCGCGGCAGAGAGGAGCGAGGGCGGAGCTGCCCTCCCGGGCCGCGCCGCGCGCGGGCGCCAGGGCGAGTGTGCGCGGGGGCGCGCGCGCGCGAGCCCGGGAGGAGGCTCCCGAGCGAGTCGGTCCTGGCGGCGCAGCCCGCTCCCCCGCGCCCTATGTGAGGGAATCGGGGAGGCCAGCGGCGCGCAGGGGAGGGCGAGGCATGTGCACGGGCCGGGGGCTGCTGCAGCCGCCCGAGGAAGAGGAGGACGGCGGCGGCGGCGGCGAGGAGGAGAGCGGGGGACTCGCGGCGGCGGGCCCGGGCCGCGGGGATGCAGCGGACTCTGTGTGTCTGGCTGTAGCTGACGCGAGGCGGCGAGGAGGCGCCGGAGACCCGCGAAAGGGGCGACCGGGAGGCGGCGGCGGCCGGGAGAAGTAGCAGCAGGACGGGCGGCGGCGGCGGCGGCGGAGACAGCAGCCTTGAAATGCATTTTCTTCTCCAGCGGCCATGTTAACCAGGAAACCTTCGGCCGCCGCTCCCGCCGCCTACCCGACCGGTAAGGAGGGCCGGGCCGCCAAGCCGCCCCGGGCGCCCGCCCCCGCCGGCCCCCGCGCCGCCCGAGTCCAGCCCTCGTGGCGCGGGCGCCCGCTGCCTGCGGGACCTCGAACAAAGTCTGCGCCGCGGCTGGGGCCCCCGGGCGGACGGCGCGCCCTCGCCTCGGCTCCGCTCATTGTTGCACGCCGGCCCCAGGGCTCCACCGAGCGGAGCCTTCCGACCCGGCCGGCGGAGGCCGTCCCGGGCCTCTTCCTCCCCCACCCCGCAAGCCCGGGGCTTGGCGAGGCCATCGCGCCCTTGTCGGCGGTCCAATCCTCTTCCCGGCCTGCGGCCGCTTGCAACGTGGGCCGCCCAGCCCCTGCCCAGCTCGGCTCAGCCGCGGGGTCGCGAACTCGCGCGCCGGCGCCCGACTTAACTTTGCAGCTGCCCGAGCCCCGCCCGGGGCTGAGCGCCTGGGATCCGGGGTCCCGGCGCCCTTTTACTCCCCCGGACGCCTGTTTTTACCGTCCAGCCTCTCTCCCGGGGAGAGCGGGGTTCGCTACCCAGAGGGGTGGGGCGGGGCGACGGGGTCTGGGTGACTTTCTCTCCCCTGACCCTCTTTTGTCTCCTCCCGCGCGTGGCTCCCAGGCCGAGGAGGGGACAGCGCCGTTCGTCAGCTTCAGGCTTCCCCGGGGCTCGGTGCGGGGGCTCCCCGGAGCGGAGTGGGGACCGGCCCGCCCTCCCCGATCGGCCTGCCGCCTCTCCGGGCCAGCAACGCTGCCGCCGCAGCCCACACGGTGAGACCCAGCCCCGCGGGAGGCCGGGGGAAAGGGGTGCGGGAGGGGCTCGGGGCATAAACAACCCGGACCGGTGGGGTTCTGACGCCGGGAGAAGAGAGGTGGAAGTGCGAGCGTTTCCACGCCCCTGGCTAGTGGCCCCCCTTGGACGCCAGCCTGTGCAACTTGGGCGAGCCCAAAGCTGCAGCCACAAAGGAAGATTCGTGGCGTGGGCCCCTCACTTCCCCTCCGGAGCCCGCCCACCCCTGCGCTCCTCTTCCTCGGAACTTCCTCCTTGCTGCTTTCCTTCTTTTTTCCCTCTTTTTTCCGTCCTTGCTTCCCAGAGCTCCTTTCCCTGACCGGATAAACATCCCCCAGCAGCCCCCCCACCACCACCACCACATTGGGTACTGGGTATTTATAGAACAGATATGTGTTTAGGGGACAGTCAGGCCGTCCTGCCCGGAAAATCGATCCCCCAAAGAGCCTCTCAGGCCTGGCTCCAGCCAGCAGGGAGCACCGCCAATTGTCCCCCGCGTGTGGAAGCATGTTTTATGAGTGCTACAAGTTTGAGCACAGCAGAAATTGTAATTAACATTAACAAAAATAAGAGCCACAGCAGCAGTCAAAACAACAAGCCATCCCTGTAGAATTCTGCATTTGGATATTATTAAAAAGGAAAGAGGCGCCTTTGCTTTGGAAGTGAGAAGGGCAGGGCACCTGGCAGGTGCTGCCCTCCCTCAGTGGGTGGGAGAGGGAGGGGAGAGCCCATCGTGGGACTAGTGGCTGCAGATTGGCAAGCTGGATTTGACTGCAGCATGTACCTTTTCTCAGCTCCCAGACATCGCCCTTGGAAGGTGACTGCTTAGAGGAGGTGTGCACTTTTGGAGGAGGTGGTGGTTTCCCAGGTCCTTTTTCCAGTTGGATCCTCCAGAAGAATGGCCTAAGGTGGTTCTGCGTGAGGGATGCTTGGGAGGAATATGGCTTCGTTTGCCTAGTGAAAGTTGAATTCTTGTGGAAAAGGCCATTTCTGGTCTACAGAGAAGCAGCTCTGAGGGTCAGGTGTTGCGGGGAAACTCCTTTATTGGAGAATTTGTGAGAGAATAGCCGCAGTGGGGTATCTCCCCCTTGGAGCTGGACCAATGTGCACAAGTTGTACAGGAGAACCGTTTTGTTGTTAGGTAGTCATTCTCTCTCTTTCTCTCTCTCCCTCTCTCCCTCCCTGCTCTCTTTCTCTCCCTCCCTCCCCTTCCCCCCCCCCACATGTGACCAAGGGCTAGGAATTCACCAAACAGAAGTTAACTGATCTGTGTTGCACTGTTGATGGTGGAAGAGAATCTGTTAGGCCGGTTGATTCTGTATGTTATGGTTGAATGTTCCTGTTAGAGTGAAGTTTTAGTTGAGGAATTGCCGTTGGCTTTAGGGTTTGGGGTTTATTTGTTTGTTTGGTTTGGAATCGTCTGACAATTTGGAAAATATCACGTCGACTTTTCTCCACGTGTGGATGCAATCACATGACTTGGTGTGACCTGGGAAAGAAAGTACTTGGTTTGCATCTGGATTCCCAAGACTGGGCCTTACTAGATCAGAGCCTTTTTCCAATAGATGTACCTAACGAGATTAGAGAAAACAGAAGGTGTCCACTGGAGGAACAGCCTGCAGTGGACCAGAAATGAAAAGATATGAGATGAGAGTCCTTCTCAGGACCCCCAGGAATGGATGCTTGTATTTTGTTGTGGTATCTTATGGTTAAAATTCCAGAATGCTTTTGGTCATTAGAGACTTGGTTTGGGAAGTGTGAAGTTAGGTTTTGATTGTGGTTTAGTTTTGATTTTATTTGTACAACATTGCAGATTTCCTAGAACAAGAGAGTTTGAAAAGACCGCAGCATTTGTCTGGTTCTACTCTTTCATTTTACAGATGAGGAAATAGTCGGACAGGTTGACTGGTTTGGTCAAGATTCCCCAGCCAATTCATATCAAGGCTGGAGCTAAAAGCACAGGCCCTCCTGAGCTAGCTTCAACATCTAGTTTGACACTGCTAATCCTAGGAAGTTTTGTTCATTTCGTTATAAATGCAGGAACCTTTGCAGATCCATACTCTCATATAATATGTCTTTGAGGTGTTTATAAGGTTTTTTTTTGGTTTGTTTTGTTTTGTTTTTAATTCCACAGCGCTTATACTTAGGAAGAGCTATTTTAGAATGGGGGGGAAGGGTATTGAGGAGAGGAAAATGATCTTGTCACAGGAGCTTGCCCATATTTTCCCTTGTAAATGAAACAGTAGGCAGGTAAATATGTGATTATAAAGATTAAGAATTTTGGAATTTATTTAGTCCATTGCCCTTTTGTTCCCTATCTCCATGGATATATTATTGTATACTTAGTCATTTTGTTTTTTTCTGTTTGTCCTAAAAGTGTACCCGGTAACTGTCTCGATTCCTGTTAGTTTTTTTTTTCTTTTGATGTTGTATGGGAGATAATAATATACTTATTTTTTTAATTCCCAAATGTTAGTATTATATCACTGCCCTAACTGTTCTGATGTTTAAAGCAGTCTCCAGTTACCATTTTACCTTTATAAAATAATGGGGATTAAAGAAGAATGAGTATTCTCATTTTAAAAATAGAAATATTTTGAAGAAGAAAAAGTAGATAATTTGACTTAGGGCCACACAGGCTGTCTGTGTTTGAGGAGCAGCTAAAATCCAACCTTTTTGCACTCAGTTCTGTTCCCATAACACTATACAGCATTGCTAAGATGACTTCAGGGAAGTTTCAGAATGCTCAAAAATGTTAGCACAGTGAAATATCTGCTATTTTCCACTTAATTATTGGAAGAGATTAAAACTACCAAACTGATTAGACTATTGTTCTTACATAATTTTTAATACTAAACTATTTCATGGGCAGAGAAGGCTTTTGTAGGTCTCTCTGTTTGAACCCATGCATTGTACTTATCTAACAACTACATTCGTCCTGTGTATATTTTTAAATGTGACAGCCATGCTAGGTGGGCCGTGGCAAATAGGAATAAGCCACGTTCTGAGACTTCAAGAGGCTGAGTGAGAGGTTTTTAATATCCTTACCGTTATGTAGGCCTGGCATACGTGTTCTGGAAAAAGTGTGAGCTCTTCTAGAGCTCCCTCCACCCCCTTTTTTTATAATCAGTTAATTGTGCTTCTGAATTTCGTCGTGATTACAGAGTCCTGCAGTGTTTGAGATCAAAGGCCTTCCCATACTACAGCCTCTCAACTGAATCCCCGTAACATCTGGAGAGTGTTTAAGATGGCACCCATGGCTTTTAGGTGTCTAGTTGATGCATCTACTCTGGGTCCGTTCTACCGGCTGTCATTTGCCTTAAGTCTCTGCTGATGCACTGCACGCCTAACATTCTGTGACTTGGATGCCCAGGGACGATTCCCAATTCCCTTCCCTTAACTTCATGTTTTCTTATGAAGGTACAAAGGTAGTTCCCAAATAGAACTCGGAGAGGTATCAGTTAGCAAGGGTTTATTAACCTGTGTTCTTCCGTTCAATAGATACTACCTGAGTGCTTACTGTATGTTTGGGTTTATGTTAATAGGGACTTAACAAAGATAAGAGGTGACCCCGCCCTTGAATTGCTCACAGCCAGGTGGGTACATCAGGTGTCAAAACACTTCAGTAAGATGAAATAGGCCTTAACAGTCTGTCGGGTCTAACCGTGGGCTAAATGCACAGGGAAGGAAAGGGGATGTTTCACAGAAGAGGTGAGAGTTGAACTGGACATTGAAGGCTGGGGGGTTAGGAAGGAGATTCCAAGCAGCTTTTGGAAAGGATGATGATAATAGCTCTTCTTTACGAACATTTTACCTTATTTCATCTAATAGCCCTAATGAGAAGCCCTGTTGCCTTCTTTTTACAGCCAAGCATACTGAGGTTCAGAGAGATTAAGTAAAGCGCCCAAGGTCACACATTTAGTAAGTGATAGAGCTGGGATTCATTTCCTGTGTGTCTAATTGAAAATACCTCGACTCGTAACCACTATGAAACATGACTTCACCAAGAAGCAGAGGAGCTTGAAAGAGCATCGTGTCTCCACAGGTCTTGGGGAACCCAGCTTCGTTACTCGCAGAGAGAACTGTAACAGTGGTAGATGACATTGGAAGGAAGGACTGAGGTCACTTATGTGCTACATTTTAGAACCTGGTGTCCTTGCCTATCAATTCTTGTATTATCTGTGGAAAAGGAGTACAGTTGTAGGCCCTTGAGCAAAAGTGAGGTTAATGTCAGATTGACTGTTTTCAGTGACAACTCTAGAAATACTTTGGCGAGAAGAGCTGAGGAATTCTAGACCGAGAAGCCAGGGGGCATGTTAGGAGTGGGCAGTGAGCCCCAGTCAACGGAGAGGGAGTAGGATGGAGAGAGACAACAAGGCTTAATGGGGCCTCGGAAGGTCAGGGAGATGCTGAGAAGGATTTCCAGATGTAAAGCTTGAGTGACTGTGGAGGTGAAGCCTTTTATTTATTGGAAATTGAGGGTATGGGAGGAAGAAATGGCTTGGGTAGGGAAATCAGTTCAGTTTGAATTGCTTGTGGGAAAGGCCATGGGTCTGTAGTTGGACACAAGGGCCAGGGCTCAGGAGGGTAAATTGGGCAGGCCCCAGCTAGAGGTGGCAGAGGTGGCAGACGTCAGCCCTTGGGTGGTTGCTGGAGCCCTGGCTGTGGTCACGATCAACCGGGGAGAATTATGGGAGTTGAGAAGCCAGGAGAGTTGAGGCTTGAACCCTGGAGAACCCCTGAACCCACCCAAGAGTAGGTGAACTAAGAGTTGAGACAGCTGAGAAGACCCAGAGAAGGAGTTGGGAGAGATAGGAGGTGAACCAGTTAATTGTCAAGCTCTCTTTGGTGCTAGCCGCTAAACTTGTGGGTTATGTTTTTGATTGCGCAAAACATGAAATTGCTGTTGCAAAAACAAGTGAATTTCTGATTCTCAGAAAGTTTTGCTTTGCTATCTTTTTAGGAGTTGCTAAAGCCCCGAGGTCAGTTTTGTCCCTAGTGAAGCCTCAGGCTTTTTGTAGCACATACACTGGTAATGTAGGTTTTTCTTCTGAATCCCTCCTTCCCGCCCTGAAGAGAATGGTTCTCTAGAAGAGATAGCTTTGGAATTTCAGGTCCTTGTATTTCCTGGTGCTTGAAAGACCCCAGTGGGGATGGAGGGGTGCAGAGTGTGGGCTTGGGAACAAAAGCAGTTGGACAAGCCAGTACTACTTTTATATATACTCATGGACTTCCTGATTCATTTTTATGGACCATTCTGCTTTTGGCATTGAATGGGGATAAAATAACCTGTCCAGCTACCCTGACAAAAGTTCACCTAGCATGAGCTATCATCTATGACTTTAATAAAAGGGTCCTCACAAAATTGGTCTGAGAAGTAAAATCCCTCAGTCTATGAAATCACACTTCGGACAGGCCCAGGGACTATACCATATTCTACTTTGTTTTAGAAGCAAGCAGGGAGAAAACTCGCTCCTCACATAATCACTGTGCAGGTGACATGTCAGTTAAAGAAAATGCGAAGGTCTTGGTCTGCTACTAAGAAGGACTTGAAATTTCATTTTGGAATCCAGGTGATTCCAAACCACTTCCTCACTTGCCATATGACATACACAGACTGCTTCTACTCCTTGGGTAGTATATAAAGCCGGAAAGGTAGGATTCAGGAAGATCTCACAGAAAAACTACCGCAAAGCGTTTAGCTGTTTGGTTGTAATAAGCTCCTGCAGGGCAGGGACTCTGCCACTTGTGTGGCTAGACCTTAGCCCATCATATTGGTTGAATGAGCTGGGTTGTGAATGAGGAACTGATGGTTAAGATTTTATATAAAAATCACCAAGCAGGATGCATTAAGACTTGTGGGTGGTTGTCTGAGGCCAGCGAGAACTCCTAACTGAGAGGGGATCCTAGCTGCTAGTGCTCTGCCCTCCCTCACGTCTTTGCAATAATAATACTTGAAAGAAATCCCAAGCAGTTTCTCAGTAGAAGGCTGGGGGCCCCTTGGCTTGCACGGTCAGCTTTGTTTAGACAGCAGTGTTCGGGGATGGCCTGTGTGCCTGAAATAGAAGTCGCTACTCTGTATTCCTTGTTGGAAAGCTGAGTATCCCGGCAGCCCACGGAAATGCACTGGTGAAGAGAGCTGAGCCATCGACCAAAGGAAGGCCCCAAACTGTGTGGTGGTTGGTTTGTTGCACTGAATGGCCTTAAATGGTCATCACAGTCAATGAAGCCCAGACGTTTTTAAAAATAGATGAGGGGTTTACAGGATGCTACAGTGCATATCTGCATGGGAATCTCTCAAGCCTAAAAGTGCACATTTTTTTTTGCCAGTGGTTCATACATTTTCCTAGGTGTAGTCAGTTTTCCAAGTAGTAGAGAAGACCGAGAATGAAGATGCTAGTGTTTTCACAACAGAGCTAGCTAGACATTGGAGAAAGTAGTGGACAAGACAGACGTGGTCCCTGCCCTCCTGGTAACGACGAAGCTACTAAGTGTGAAAGGGGTTACAGTCTGGAGGGGGTAGACCCAGCAAGAGACTACATGCTCACGCTTTCTCTGTGTCCTATTGCGTTTTATATTAGGTTTGGGCTGAGGGGAATGCCTGGGGTGTGCCAGACCCTGTGCTGAACGTTAGGGAGAGGCCAGTGACGAAGACAGACGCTCTCGGCCTCCACAGGGAACCTGCTCCGAAGAGCGTGGATATGTGCAGCAAGCTGCTGGTCTGTCAGGTGTAGCACTCCTGGGGTCCTTGTTTTTCAGGATCCCAAGTCCGCTCATCTTTTCCCTTTATTTTCCCAGAGGCTGTCAGCAGCCTATCCACTCTCCCCGTCCAGGTTTTCCTGAGGTCCTGCCTGGGCGTACAGCTCTTTCCATGTAGTGCAACTGACACTGCCGGTACATTCAGACAGATCGGATTTTGTAAAGGTGGGCTGGGGGCTGACTTGGAAAATACCCCATGTGAACAGACAGACCTCTTGCATCCTACTCACGGTTGCTTTCTGCCTTCCAGATTGGCGGCAGTAAGCACACAATGAATGATCACTTACACGTCGGCAGCCACGGCCACGGACAGATCCAGGTTCAGCAGCTGTTCGAGGATAACAGTAACAAGCGGACAGTGCTCACGACACAACCCAATGGGCTCACCACGGTGGGGAAGGCGGGCTTGCCGGTGGTGCCCGAGCGGCAGCTGGAGAGCATCCACAGACGGCAGGGCAGCTCCACGTCTCTGAAGTCTATGGAAGGCCTGGGGAAGGCGAAAGCCACCCCCCTGACCCCTGAACAAGCAATGAAGCAATACATGCAAAAACTAACCACCTTCGAGCACCATGAGATTTTCAGCTACCCCGAAATCTATTTCTTGGGTCCAAATGCAAAGAAGCGCCAGGGCATGACGGGCGGGCCCAACAACGGGGGCTATGACGACGACCAGGGATCCTACGTGCAGGTGCCCCATGATCACGTGGCTTACAGGTACGAGGTCCTCAAGGTCATCGGGAAGGGAAGCTTCGGACAGGTGGTCAAGGCCTACGACCACAAAGTCCACCAGCACGTGGCCCTGAAGATGGTGCGGAATGAGAAGCGGTTCCACCGGCAGGCGGCGGAGGAGATCCGAATCCTGGAGCACCTGCGCAAGCAGGACAAGGACAACACCATGAACGTCATCCACATGCTGGAGAACTTCACCTTCCGGAATCACATCTGCATGACGTTCGAGCTGCTGAGCATGAACCTGTACGAGCTCATCAAGAAGAATAAGTTCCAGGGCTTCAGCCTGCCTTTGGTTCGCAAGTTTGCCCACTCGATTCTGCAGTGCTTGGATGCTTTGCACAAGAACAGAATCATTCACTGTGACCTTAAGCCCGAGAACATTCTATTAAAGCAGCAGGGTAGAAGCGGTATTAAAGTGATCGATTTCGGCTCCAGTTGTTACGAGCATCAGCGTGTCTACACATACATTCAGTCCCGTTTTTACAGGGCTCCGGAAGTGATCCTTGGCGCCAGATACGGCATGCCCATCGACATGTGGAGCCTGGGTTGCATTTTAGCAGAGCTCCTGACTGGTTACCCACTCTTGCCTGGGGAAGATGAAGGGGACCAGCTGGCTTGTATGATTGAACTCTTGGGCATGCCCTCCCAGAAACTGCTGGATGCGTCCAAACGAGCCAAAAATTTTGTGAGCTCCAAGGGTTATCCCCGTTACTGCACTGTCACGACTCTGTCAGACGGCTCTGTGGTTCTCAACGGAGGCCGTTCCCGGCGGGGGAAACTGAGGGGCCCACCTGAGAGCAGGGAGTGGGGGAATGCACTGAAGGGGTGTGACGATCCCCTTTTCCTTGACTTCTTAAAACAGTGTTTAGAGTGGGATCCTGCGGTTCGCATGACCCCTGGCCAGGCTTTACGGCACCCCTGGCTGAGGAGGCGGCTGCCAAAGCCTCCGACGGGGGAGAAGACATCCGTGAAGAGGATAACCGAGAGCGCTGGTGCTATCACATCCATCTCCAAGTTACCTCCGCCTTCCAGCTCGGCTTCCAAACTGAGGACTAATTTGGCACAGATGACGGATGCCAATGGGAATATTCAGCAGAGGACAGTGTTGCCAAAACTTGTTAGCTGAGCTGAGTCCCCTGATGCTGGTAATCTGAAAGATACGACATTGCTGAGCCTTACCGGGTTGAAAAGGAGTAGCTCAGACCTGTTTTTATTTGCTCAATAACTCAACTCATTGGTATCTTTTCAGCACTTATTTTAATGTAAGAAAGTTGTTCATTTTGTTTTTATAAAATACATGGGGACAATGCTTTAAGTTTTTATACTTCCTGAAACTGTTTTTGTGTTCTAAAAGTATGATGAGCCTTACTGTATCTAGTGTGGCAGAGTAATAAACATCAGTGGCAGGCCATTGATTACTTCGTGACTGCTGCGCATTTACAGATTGGTGTCAAAGACGTTCACTGTTCCTATGGTTCATAGTATATTCTCCCTGAGGCGACTGCCCCCGCAGGGCCCCCTCCTCCCTCCATGCTCCAGGTTCATGCACAGGTGTAGCAGGCCCTGCCTCCCATTTCCCATAAGTCACGTGGGTGGTAGTGAGGGTGGGAGAAGAAGGGTCAGGACGACAATGATACTCTAAGAAGAACTGCACCTTAAGAGATTTTGTTTTTTTTTCCTAAACCAGTGGTCAAACAGACACGACCTTCCCAAGGTTTTAAATGCCCACTTGGCATTCTGACTTTCTAAAAGCTGGCCAAGCACACCTGGGTGGATAAATGGAAACGTGTGTGTTCCTTCAGATTCTCTAATATGATCAGCAAGCTGTTTTGTAAAGAAGCCTCAGATCATGGACTTGGTTTTGCAGCTAAATATAGAAATGTATTCCATGAACTGTTCCTCCTCTGCTTTCCTCCTCTCTGTTCCTCTTTCACCACACATCTGTTGCTTGCATTCAGGTTTGGTTTTTTTTCCCCCCTTTCTTCAAATATATATCCCAGACTGTTAATACAGAAGAGAGACATTTCAGCTGTGATTATGACCATTGTTTCATATCCCAGTTTAAAAAAAGAACAGAAGCCTAGCTACTTAAGGTGGGGATTTCCATAGTTCCAAAGAAGGTTCAGCAAATTAGAGTGAGTTCACACTTTTCAGGTGCCACTGTAAGGTTCTCTTAGCCTGGGAAAGCATCAACTCTTTCTTTAAAAATAAAGAAGGTTGAAAATCCTCTTGCTGAACAGAAGGCATTGTGACTGTTCAATGAGTCCAGTTTTAACAACAAATTTAAAGGAGGAGAAGCTCAATCTCAAGTTAAATGGTTTGACTTATTCGCATCATTAGAAAAATCACAAATTGCATTCCTCTATCTTACTTCCTTTTGGATTGCACTGATTGTTTTTGTGGGAATGACACTTTACCTGGGAAAGTAACTGAGAGTTAGGTAAAAGAATATTTTCCTCTCTGAATAATTATTTTCAAAGTGAAAAATTCAGTATTTTATCACTAATGTATGAGCAGTGGTATTTACCAATTTCAAGGCACGTGGAAGAAATTTTTTAGTATGTGCAATTTAATATAGAAAGATTTTTGCCTGTTTGGGTAATAGGTTTTGGGTAGTATAAATTAGGATAAATACTCTTTTTATATGCACAGATATTATTGTATTGCCTGTAAATTGATTTACAAGTACTTAAAGCATGGTCCCCGGCGAGGCCAAGAAAGTTTCCGGTTAAGTTCTTTAAATATTAGTCCTACAGTTTCTCTTACTAAAAAAGAAAAAAAGTAGTTTTTGGAACAAAACACTTATCTTGAGGCTTTGTCAGTTGCTGGTGGAGAAAAACGCTCAGGAAATATTACAGATCTTTGCCAAAAAACACAGTAATACGTTTAGCTTATTAATAAGATAGTGATGTTGTTATTTGCTTTACTATTTAAGGGTGTCACATAAATTAATTTGTACTTCTGTATTTAGAAATTAGAGCTGCTTTCCCCTAGTCAAATTCTTTAGCATATCGTATACATTTCTGTGTCATCTGTGGAAGTGCAATAATATGGTAGTAAGTTGTTTTTTAAATGATGCTCATGTGATGATACCCCCAATCAGTGGCTTATAGAATTTAAAGATTGTGTATTTATTATTGAAATTCTGGCTTAAAGGCATAACAAGTGTAAGACTTGGTATGGTGGCTTTGTAAAACCATAAGCCTCTGAATGATGGTTTGCTTCTTGAGGTCAGTAAAATAAAAACATAAAGGCTGTTTTTCCCTTGCAAGACTCCTCTTCCATACCCAGCCTCATCTTCACATTTAGGTTTACATGAACCTGAGCCTGCCGTTAATGGAAGAAACATCCCTTTAAAATACATGTGAAAATCTATAGCTGGACTAATACTGCTTGTCTTTACCCCACCGCATAAAACTGGTTCTTAAGATGCCAATAGTGCATTTGTGACTATAGTCACAAATGTAACCGGAAACTTCTAAGCCAAACTATAAGTGCAGCGCTATGCACCCCCACCCCCCAAATACAGTGAAATTTACTTCATTCATAAGAGCCACCATGTTCAGTGTTTAGTGACAGGGCTGCTTTGAAAAAAATTCTAGCTTAATTACGATGTCCAAAAAAGAAAAAAAAAAAAAGTTGCATCTCTGTGATCTTAAATGAAGGGCTCTACTAGGCTACTAGGAGTTGGCTTGGAAACAGTCCTTGGTCTCACAGGTTACCATTGTCTAGGGATGTCTGAGCTGTTTTCAGACTTCAGACTAGCACGGTGTCTTGTCTTTGGTTGCAGTCTCATCTGGCTCCGGTCCTCGTACCTCCACAGTGCGCATGACCACGTCAGGGCGTTGCTACGACAGTGGAACAGCACGGTGATGCTGGACAGTTCAGATCAACCGTAGAGGAGAAGTTGTGCCCTTAGTGTTAACAATGTGCCTTTTGTTCCGAATGCCATGTTGTAGGGCATGCGTTTTTTGGCCTCTTTAACTCTTTGAATACCAGGTGGTGAGGATGGAACCCACCTCTGCAGAGATACATCTGTCTTAAATATCTAGTTACTTACAGGCCTTAATAGAAACCGTAAGGCGTGACTCATCATCAGGCAGTGAGAAAGGTAACCACCGGTTAGTTACACGGGAAATTCCTATGTTTAAGGGGTTAAAGATGGTCTTCGTTGTATCTTTTAACATCAGACTGATTTTTTAAATGATATTTTTTTGTTATGCTAACACTAGACAAAAATCAACTGTATTTGTAAAAATTTACCTCAAACCATTTAATTTTATAGTGTGATTAATCCCAGGGCATTTGGTATGAACCAAAGTGCATTCCTTTTCTATGTGCCTGGCTCTAGTACGGATGGCCAGGGCTTTTTACAATTTGGGTGCAAGGCACTTAAGCCACTTTTAAACTTAATGCGTGGTTGGGAGTCGTGTTCAAGGACTCCATCAGGAGGTTAGGCAACACTTCAGGCATCAGTAGCATTGGGCCATATTGGAATCTTAAAAGTGTGAATTATTTTAAAGAGAGCATTCATTTTTGTAATTTTTTTCATCGAGAATATTTCTGGTAAGCAGAAGACTTTTTAAAAAAAAAACTGATTTGGTTGGTAAAGGTTTTAATATCGCCCAACATAATGCTGTGGTAGCATTTAAAAAAAAAGTATTTGTCAACTCTGTTTCTTAGGGGCTTGTACATCTCTCTGCTATGGACATATATAAAATTAATTGTAATTATACTCAGCTCAACTGCTACAGTTATGTCTAGGCAGTGGCTTGGGTTTTTATCGAGCAACAACTTAGACACGTGACTGTAATATGCTGCAACTGTGTGTACTGAAAATATGTGAAAATGGTTGAATGTGGACTGTGTATATATGTATGTAAACATTTCTGTGAGATGCTGCTGTCGCCACTTAACATGAAATATGTTCTGGTGGATTTTAATCCTAGTGGCCAGTTCTATGATACTGTATGTATTGTACAGCTGAAGACAGGAGTAAGACTGTTCAGTGAATATTTGTTACATTTTATTGTCGTGGCCAGAGATAATTTCAGAATAAAAATTTAATGTCCTACCTTAATTTTCTCCCCTTTTCTAACTATAATTTAACTCCTGATCTCTTTCTGGTGATATTCCTGGTCTGGTAGCCTGGAGAGAGTTTAGAAGGCAAACATTGTCAGCTACAATTGATTTTTTTTTTTCTTATTAGCTCAGTATAAATGTGCAAGTTCCAAGTAAGAAAGACTAACGTTTTAGTAGGCAACTCTTGCTTTTCTCAGGATACCCTATTCCTTACCCTGTAAGGAATATGTTACTTGTCCTTTATACAGACTCTGCGGCCATGTTCTATATCCTGCTAGAATGTCAAATCTTTCTTTCTTCTTTCTTTCTTTCTTTCTTTTTTCTTTCTTTCTTTCTTTCTTTTTCTTTCTTTCTTTCTTTCTTTCTCTCTTTCTTTTTCTTCTTTCTCTTTCTTTCTTTCTTTTTCTTTCTCTTTTTCTTTCTTTCTTTCTTTTACTTTCTTCTTTCTTTTTTTTAACCTTCAAGGTGAGAAGCTGTGGAAGCAGAGTCTGTAAATTATTCCTCACCAGTCTATTCTTTTCGGTGCCTAGGTTCTGGCAAACGATCCATATGTGCTCTCACCAGCTCCCCCATATGCTTCTTAATGCTTATGCCTTTGCAGTTCTTGTACTTGGTGGTCTCTGGTTCATGTTTTTTGGAGGTTCTGTGTCTCTTTCTGCCATGGCTGGACCAGAAAATAGGGCCTGTAAACTGCAACTAGCTCATGATTTATCAAGTTCAGTTAATACCAAGTGAAGAGTTTGCTTACAGATGACAGCAAGCAGATGCTCTAGTAATTTGTCAGACATTGCAGGGAGGTTATGTAGACAAATATTTCCCTCTTGTGGAAAGAACTACCTCACATCTTTATTTACACCCCTCCTGCCACCAACAGCAGAAAAACTACTTAGTGTGGCTTCCTGCAGCAGAAGTGGGATTTGCTTAAAACAAGGGAATACTGTAGGTGTTCCCCAACCCAGACTTGGTCTTATCATATCCTACACCACAATCTCCCATGACTGCTTCTTTTGCTAATCAGAGTTCTTACCCAGTGAAAAAATACCAACTGACCAGCTAACCAAGAAACCAATATATTTAGAGAAAAAAAAAAATGTAAGAGACGTGCATCACGTATAAAATTGAAAGTTAGACACTAACACAGCGATTTAAATTTAAGATAGAATGTCCAGATCTGATATACTCAGAGCAGATTATAGCTTCCACTCATTCTCTTTTATCAGATCTCTTCAAAGCTCTTTCTTAAATTGATTAATACTATATTCTGTTTGAATTTCTGTAATCTTTTTGCTTTGGGAATCAACACCTATACAAATAACTATTTCTGGAACTTCAGAATTGCCTTCAAACTAGTACTCCAGAATGTTCTTAGCTGGCATTGTTGGGAAAGGGAAAAGAGTTAATTTTCTGTTGTGGAAAGAGCATGAAGAGGGATTGGAAGAAAGGGTATTTGTGACTTTGTTTCACTGCTGTGTTTAAGCAGTTTGAATTACGCTGTGTTTTTTTTGTTTTGTTTGTTTTGTTTTTAGTCATTAGGCAAATAAACACTTGTCATTAGTGATGCTTACCACTGTCCGAAATGAAAAATGACTGCCAGTGTGTTGCACGTACATAAGAAAATTGCATCTTACTGCAAAGGCTTTGGTTTTATTTGGTTTGACTTTGACATACTGTTTTGCTGTGGTCACATCCTTACTATCTGTTCTACATTTCCTATATATTGGGGATGGCATAATTGCCATTCCTTTGCTTCTCAAGGAGCTTTAGTGAGCAAACTAATGAATTTATATTTACTTCTCCAAAGAAAGCTGACATTTTAGGAGTATTAACTAGTCATCTATAATAAGGAGCAGCAGGGTATAACTGATATGTTCCCAGAGCATTGCTCCTTCCGAAGAAGACTTCACGGGTCTCATGGTGTTGTATGAACATCAGTTCAGCCTTATACATTCCTGTAAGCTACAATTATCCTCACTTGATATTTGAGGAAACTGAAGTGACTTGTTTCAACGTGACTTTGCAAAAACAGTTTGGGCCTCAGGTTGCAATCTGATGAAGAATTTTGGTCTTGGACAGTAAAGGAAAATCCCCAGTTGTATATCACATACAAAAATTTAGAAAGGGGGGGATTTGAGCTAGCAGTGAGCATTTCTGTTACTTGAATAAACTGTGTATCAGTTCCCAGGAATATTTTTTAAAAGAGGAGAAGCTACAAAAAACGGAGGATGAGAGCATCTTAGTCTCCGCAGGTGCACCTGATAACTAACGTGCATTGTACACGCACCTCTCGGTTAATCTGTGAAAGAGGGAGTCCTAATACTGCCATATTTGGGGAGGCTGATAAGTTACAGTGGCTTTCTTACTTTCTGTTCTTAAAATATGCTTTTTACATTTGAATGTATGAAAATATTTTTGACTCTTTACTAATTCTCAGGGATTAAAAGTTAAATTTTACTGACTGTAGCAGCAGGTAAACCTCTTAAATTCAAACTTACTCAGGTTTCCTATTCTTTGCCTCCATACTGAAGAAAACAAAATGCCTGCCAGGCAAATATATAAAAATTTAAATTCCAAATACAATTTTAAAACACCAGTTGTAAATAAACCAATTTTACAAACTAAAATATTGTGTCTTTCCTTGCTTTTTATCCCAAATTATTCCCCCCCCACCCCAAGTTTCAGGAGTTT